CCCCTGCACAAAAAGTTTAAAAATTAGCCAAGCATGGTAGCACACACCTGTAGTCCTAGCTACTCAGGAGGCTGAGGCGGGAGAATTGCTTGTGCCAGGAGGTTGACGCTGCAGTGAGCCATGACAGGGCCACTGCACTCCAGAATGAGGGACAATGAGACCCTGTCTCAACAAAAAATAAATACATAAAAATAAAGGAAAAAAAGGTAAACAATAACAACTTGCACTAAGTGGGTGTCACCTTTGCACACTTACTTGGCAGGAATTGCCTGACTACTGTCTTTGTCCAGGGCCTGACTCACACTTGCTTATGGTTTATTTGCATTTGTGATTAACACACTGCTCTCCTCCTCCTTGACAAATAGAACCTCAGTTTGTTCATTCTGAGCATCAGTCTCTGCCAGGCACTGTGCTAGACACTGTCAGAGTAGGACAAAGGGGTTCTCAAACTCTGCTGCATATTAGAGTCACCAGGGCTTTAAAAGAATCCCCATGCCCAGGCTCCATTGCAGACCAGTTACATCAGAATGTCCCAGCATGGCATGCAGGCATCAGAATATTTATTTATTTATATTTTTTGAGACAGTCTCGCTCTGTTGCTCAGGCTGGAGTGGAATTTTTTAAAGTTCAAGAGGCGATTGCAAAAGGAAGCCACGACTGAGAACCAAAACACTAAAATATCAGTGGATTCTGGCTAAAGAAACAAATACTCTAGTCCCTACAAAAATACTAAGCCTATTAGTTTGGTGCTCAGAGAATTAACTGTTATTTTTGCTTTGTTCTCTACATTGTGTCAAATATGCATTTGTGTTACTTATGATATTTACTTAAGGAAATACTTAAAGGGAGTGAGCCAAAGCAGTCTTTCCATCCCTCCACCAATGGTTTGTTCTCAATTATTTGCACTAATGCAAAGATACATGCAGGGATAATGGGAAAGATGGACTAGTTAAGCTTTATTCATCTGTATTTGTGTAACAAAATGTATTTGTCAAATTGAATAGTGAAGTCATGTACTTGGGTAGTATACATACAGTGCAAATATTTATGTTATCTAACTGAACTAGGGTCCCTTCACCTGGAACGGTAAGGCCAAACACCCACACCAAAGTTTGCAGAGGGAGAAAGAAGGATGTTTATCTGTCGGGCACCAGGCAAGGAGAATCAGGTAGCTCCTCTTTGCTGGCTGACAAGTAAGGGTTTTTAAAGGCACTTGGGGATCAGACGTGGTAGCTTATACCTGTAATCTCAACATTTTGGGAGGCCAGAGCAGGAAGATTGCTTGAGCTCAGGAGTTCAAGACCAGCATAGATAACACAGACCCTGTCCCTATAAAAAAATTAAAATTAGCTAGGTGTCCCAGCTAGTCAGGGATAGGCTGAGACGAGAGGATTACTTGAGCCTAAGAGGTCGAGGCTGCAGTGAACTGTAATTGTGCCACTGCAGTCCTGCCTGAACGCAAGAGGGAGACCCTGTCTCAAAACTAAAACATAAAATAAAGGTGGGTGGGGCAGAGGTTAAAGGCAAAGTCATAAATCGATACACGGATCTACATATTGGTTTGACCTAAAAAAGCAGGACATCTCAAAGTGGGGGTGCCCCACAGGTCATAGGTAAATCAGATTTTCTGAGTTACAATTGGTTAAGATGCTTTAGACAAAGTTTGTCTAAAAATTTGGGATCAGCAGAAAAGAATGCCTGTTCTCAGCCTGGGCAGTGTAGGGAGACCCCGTCTCTACAAAAATAATTTAAAAATTAGCTGACCATGGTGACACAGACCTGTGGTTTCAGTTACTTCGGAGACTGAGGTGGAAGGATTGCTTGGGCAGGAAAGGTGAGGGCTGCAGTGAGCCATGATTGTGCCACTGCACTCCAGCCTAAGCAACAGAGTGAGACACTGTCTCAAAAAAGAAAAAAGAAGAAAGAATGCTAGTTCTGATTGGCAGGCATGACTTTGAGGCCCCTCAGGAAGACATTTAGAACCAAGAGCATTGGTCAGAATTCAATCCTCAGTTCCTCCTTATCTAAATGAGGTCTAAATGCCAATGGATACATTTGGATACATTTGGTGAGGGTCTGGGTTTCTAAAACACAACTCAGGGCCTTATGTTAAGATACTATCATTAGTTTCTATAAGGACCATCTTCTGACTCTAACTTCCTTGGCTTTTTTTTTTTTTTTTTCTTTTTTTCCTTTTGAGGTAGAGCCTCGCTCTGTCATCCAGGCTGGAGTGCACTGTCACGATCTCAGCTCACTGCAACCTCTGCCTCCCAGCTCAAATGATCCTCTCCCTCAGCCTCTCAAGTAGCCGACACTATAGGTACATGTCACAACGTTAGTTTTTACATATTTTGTAGAGGTGAGGTTTTGCCGTGTTGCCCAGGCTGGTCTCAAACTCCTGAGCTCATGTGATCTGCCTGCCTCAGCCCCCCAAAGTGCTGAGATTACAGGTGTGCACCACTGCACCTGGCCTTGTTTAAGCTACTGTTACCTTCTTGCTTATTAATGTACTCATTTACATCTCAAGGCTGGGTATGTGCCTGGAATTTCCCTTGAAGGAACTCAAGATTTTCTGTTATTTCTGTGCTTGGGAGATGCACCAGCCTTTAAGAGAGGTCCCTGCTCTGTCTCCTTTACACCAAATGATTCATTTTTAGCAGTTGCCCAAAAGTTTTTAGTTTCTTTAAGAACTTTTATTGGTATAGACAGGGTCTTGCTATGTTGCCCCAGCTGATCTCAAACTCCTGGCCTCAGGTGATCCTCCTGCCTTCGCCTCTCAAAGTGCTGGGATTATAGGCAAGAGCCACCACTCCTAGCCACCTAAAAGTTTTTTTTTTTTAAGTTTTTTGGGGGCCACCTGAAAGTTTTGTACCTTCTCTGGAAACTCTTATTCCTGAATATTATAACTACATTTGCATGAACGTGAGCTGCCCAGCTGTTCTGTGGACACAGGCTGCCCAGCCTACTCCTGCAGTGTTTATCGGTCACCTGAAACGCACAACACATTGTGCCAGAACCGACAGAGGATAGTCATTTGGTTTTACAGACTGATGACAAAGATGAAGAAATTTGTGATCCGAATGTTGAGAGAATAAAGCAAGCTTCGGTAGAATACATACAGTGTGATCCCATTTCTGTTAGTTCAGAAACAGCAAAATTAAATCTATCACTAGGGATTCACATATAGTGAAACCACAAGGAAAACAAGGAAAGGATACATGTAAAATGCAGGATCATGGTTCTGGTGAGGGGCAGGATTAGTTATTTATATATTTTGTGCATATTAAATCGTTTTTGTGTAGATGTTTAACAAAAATCACGGGGGAAAGGAGAGGCCACAGTACAGAGGAGTGAAGAAAGCCAAAGGGACCCAATTGACAGGAACTCGTGACCTACTTTCCAGTTTTGAGGTGGCGGATCTTCTGCCAGTCCCACTCTCTTTGGTCTAAGATGACAGTGCAGGCTGGGCGCGGTGGCTCACGCCTGTAATCCCAGCATTTTGGGAGGCAGAGGCGGGCGGATCACGGGGTCAAGAGATCGAGACCATCCTGGCTAACATGGAGAAACCTGTCTTTATTAAAAATACAAAAATTAGCTGGGTGTGATGGCATGTGTCTGTAGTCCCAGCTACTCGGGAGGCTGAGGCAGGAGAATCGCTTGAACCGAGGAGGTGGAGGTTGCAATGAGCTGAGATCGTGCCATTGCACTCCAGCCTAGGCAGTGCTAACGATGTTGGACTTCTGTGTGTCACCTTCTCCAACAGGGTTGAGTAGCCTGGAAGACAAAAGGTTAGCCATTGTCATTGTGACAGTACCAACTCTTTGGGGACCTGGAAAAGGCATAGGACAGGGATGTCCCATCTTTTGGCTTCCCTGGGCTACATTGGAAGAACTGTCTTGGGCCACACATAAAATACACTAACACTAATGAGCTAAAAAAAAAACAAATTGCAAAAGACATCTCATAATGCTTTAAGAAAGTTTACGAATTTGTGTTGGGCCGCATGCGGCCCACAGGCCGTGGGTTGGATAAGCTTGGTGTAGGGTGTATAGAATTTCATGCATGGAGACAATGTCTTTGACAACGTGACTGGTTGATGCATTGTGGTAGAAAGAGGTGCCACTAGCTAGCCAGGTAAAAGTCATGCAGCATTTTGGAAACTCAGCCCAGAAGTCTCCTTAGCAAGGTCGCTGAGTTCATGAAGTACACTTTTTGTTTTCCGCATTACAGAGGCAATGGCAACAGTGTTGCCAAACTTTTCTATATAACTGGAGCCCCCTTTCCTCTCCCCAATAATATTTCCCTTACTTTAAGTCTCACCCTCAGCCTCCTACACTGTCACTCACACGCTCCCAGAAGCGTTTCTGGCTTATACCTGCTGCCCAGTCCCAAAGCCCGTGCTGTGTGTTATGGTGTCATCCGCACTCCACTTCCAGGTATAAAAATCTGTCCTGATGATTACTTGTTGCATGACAAACCATTCCAAAACATAGATCTTAAAATGACATTTCTTTATCTCGGGAATTGAACATGATGTTCAAATGGGGCTGGAAGATCCACTTCCAAGTTGGCTTGCTTGGATGGAGCAAGATGGAGGCCAAAATGGCTGCCAAGTTGTGGCTGTTGCTGGCTGGGAGCTGGGCAGAAGCTGAGGGCTGGAGGCGCGAGTCCTCTATGTGGGCCTCTTTGGAGCTGCTTCTCCATGGCCTAGTGCCTGCGTTCCAACAAGGAAGCATCCCGAGAAAAACAAAACGGATTTCTTAAGACTGAGTCCAGAAATGGCCACAGCATCACTTTTGTTGTAGAAATTACAGAGCCCAAATTCTAAAAAAGGGGACATAGCCTCTACCTCTCACTAAAAGAAGTGTCAAAGAATTTGGGGATTATGTTTTAAAATTGCCATTGCCATGCTCGATATTATATATTCATATTACAAGTGAGGACACTAAGGTACAGCAATACTAAAAAACACTTTCCAAGGGTCCAGTGGTGAGTCAGGACCAGAGCTTTTGGGTTCATATCCTGCAATTATCAACTGTTCATTTATTCTACATGTCCTTACTGAGTACCTACGGTGGCTCACACCTGTAATCCCAGTAACTTGGGAGGCTGAGTTGGGCAGATCGCTTGAGCCCAGGAGTTTGAGACCAGCCTGGCTAACACAGCACGATCTTGTGAAAGAAAGAAGAAAGGAAAGAAAGAAAAAAAGAAAGAAAGGAATGAAGGAAGGAGGGAAGGAAGGGAAGGAAAGAAAGGATAGAACTAAAGTATAGTGTGTCTTTTGGGCTAGGAGGATGTTGGTAGAGGCCTCATATGGTTGTGCAGGTAGCACACTGCACAACACCAGGAGGCACCATGCACACTGCAGGCACTGCAGATTGGTATACCTAAGAGGACCAGTTTCTGACAGATGGAAGCAAGTGTCTTGAAGAAGGGAAATGTTTTTCCAATCCATATGAAAGCAATATACGGGCTAGCCACAGGACTGTTTTTGCTGTCTCTGGTCAGAGTTTTGGGCAGAGCATAAACTCGGCATGCGGCAGCTAGAAGTATAAATAAATGGAAGGTAGGGAAGTGAGGCTTAAGAAAGTGCAGGCATCTTTTTTTTTTTGAAACGGAGTTTTGCTGTGTCGCCCAGGCTGGAGTGCAGTGGTGCAGCCTTGGCAACATCCACCTCCTGGGTTCAAGCGATTCTCCCACTTCAGTCTTCCAAGTAGCTGGGACTACCGGCACCCGCTACCACACCAGGCTATTTTTTTTGCATTTTTAGTAGAGATGATGTTTCACCATGTTAGCCAGGATGGTCTCTATCTCCTGATCTGCCCGACTCAGCCTCCCAAAGTGCTGGGATTACAGGCATGAGCCACCATACCTGGCCAAAAATGCAGATAGCTTAGTCTGTGTGTGCTGCTATAACAAAATACCTGAGACCAGGCAATTTATAAAGAACAGATTTTTTTTTTTTGAGACATCATCTCCCTCTCTCACCCAGGCTGGAGTGCAATGGTGGGATCTTGGCTCACTGCAACTTCCACCTCCCAGGTTCAAGTGGTTCTTGTGCTTCAGCCTCCTGAGGAGCTGGGATTGCAGGCTTGCACCATTATGCCTGGCTAATTTTTGTATTTTTAGTAGAGATGAGGTTTCGACATGTTGACCAGGCTGGTCTCGACCTCCTGGCCTTATGTGATCTGCCTGCCTTGGCCTCCCAAAGTGCTGGGATTACAGGCATGAGCCACCACGTGCAGCCCAGAAATTTATTTCTTAGTTCTGGAGTCTGCAAAGTCCAAGGTCAAGGTGCTGGCATTCGGTGTCTGGTAAGGGTCTCCTAGCTCATCTTCACATGATGGAAGAGCAGAGGGCAAAAAAAAAAAGGCCTAATTCCCTGTTACCTTTTTATGAAGTCATAATCTGGCCAGGTGCTGCGGTTTATGCCTATAATCCCAGCACTTTGGAAGCTTATAATGGGAGGATTCCTTGAGCCTAGGAGTTCGAAACCAGCCTGGACCACTTGGTAAGACTTTGTCTCCCTAAAAAATTTAAAAATTAGCTGGGCATGGCAGTGCATACCTGTATCCCCAGCTACTTGGGAAGCTGAGATGGGAGGCTCCCTTGAGGCCAGGAGGGTAAGGCCACAGTGATTGTGCCACTGCACTCCAGCCTGGGCAACAGAGCAAGACCCTGTCTCAAATAAACAAATAAAGTCATAATTCCCAATTAAAGCCCTCATGACTTAATCATCCCTAAAGGCCCCACCCCTTAATACTATTGAATTGGAGATTAGGTTTCAACATGAATCTCAGAGAAGACATAAACATTCAAACTGCAGCAGGGCACAGTGCTTTCTCCAAGTTTGGCTGTGAGAAGCTGAGACGTAGGGACATGAGGAAGAGGAGAGGCAAAACTGGAGAGGAGCGACATAATTTTAAGTTTTTGTGTTTGTTTGTGTTTGCGTTTGTTTTACATCATGTGGAGGAGGCTAGAATATGTTGAACTGGTCCTGGGGAGGAGCCGCTAGAGAGGGAGATATCTAAAACACGCGAGAGGCCAGGTGTGACGGTGCATGCCTGTAATCCTAGCACTTTGGGAGGTCAAGGCAGGAGGATCTCTTGAGTAGCTGTGATTCCAGCTACTCAGGAGGCTGAGGCAGGGCGATCCGGTGAACCCAACAGTTTGAGGTTACAGTGAGCTACGATTGTGCCACTGCACTCCAGACAGAGCAAGACCCTGTCTCAAAAGAGAAATAAAATTAAATACAAAAGAGAGAATGGGAGTGAGAGTAAGAGTGAGAGAGGGATTAGCCTTCTATCAGACGAGATGCTCCCAGAAGAATTCCTGAGACGGAGACATCTGAATGCAGGAAAGAAGTCCGCCTTGGGGAGGTGGGCAGAAGAGAACTCCAGGCAGTGGGACCGCCAATGTGAAGGCCCCGAGACGGTGCTATCTCTGCTCACTGCAACCTCCGCCTCCCGGGTTCAAGAGCCTGCATGTTTGAGGAACAGTAAACTCCAATTAGTAAGTAAGTATGAGAGAGGGGAGCATTTCAGTCATAGACACAGTTGGCCAAGATTAAATAGCAGGGGCTTGTGGTCCATGGTATTTTTTTTTTAAAAAAAAAGGAGCCGGGCACAGTGGCTCACGCCTATAATCCTAGCACTTTGGGAGGCCTAGGCAGGTGGATTGCCTGAGCTCAGGAGTTCGAGACCAGCCTGCGTAACACAGTGAAACCCCATCTTGACTAAAATACAAAAAATTAGCCGGGCATAGCGGTGTGTGCCTGTAATCCCAGCTACTCAGGAGACTGAGGCAGGAGAATTGCTAGAACCCAGGAGGCAGAGGTTGCAGTGAGCTGAGATCACGCCACTGCACTCCAGCCTGGGCGACAGAGCAGGACTCCGCCTCTTAGAAATAAAAAAAAGGATTTCCCATCAGGCAAATCTGAGTCAATGCACGCATTAAAATTAACAATAATAGTTACGAATTTAAACTCTTTGAATAAAAGTTCATAAGCCTATGCCGATTCAAAGAAATAAGTAAACAAAGCAGAAGGGAAAGTTCTCTACAGTCGAATGTCAACCCATAAATATGGAAAAATGATGGGTCTAGACAATCATCAATGGATGCTAACAATAGTGATGAAAGTTTGATGTGGGTCAGGATATTTACCTCTCATCAAAGTCTCCACACAAATTGTTTACAAAGGATAAAACAGTAACTTTACTGTAGAGAAAACTGGCTGACACCATCTTAACCATGTGGTCAAAGTCATTGCCAGTGATGGGACAAACTGACATATGCATGTCCTTCTTTTTTTTTTTTTGAGACAGAGTTTCACTCTTGTTGCCCAGGCTGCAGTGCAGTGGCGCGATCTCGGCTCACTGCAACCTCTGCCTCCAGGGTTCAAGTGAAGAACTGTCTTAGACTCCCAAATAGCTTGGAATACAGTCATGTGCAACCTTGCCCGGCTAATATTTTTGTATTTATTAAGGATGAGGTTTCACCATCTTAGGCTGGTTGCAAACTCCTGATTTCAGGTGATCTGCCCGCCTCGTTCTCCCAAAGTGCTGGGATTACAGGTGAGCTTCACCTCTCCTGGCCCAAACTGACACATGCATCCTCTTTAACTAAAATGAGAAGAAGGTATTTGCTTCATATTGGTGTGTTAGACATTTATTTTAAAATTAGGACTTAAGGATTTTACAGATTAAAATATTTTTAACTTTTTTGATGTCTGACAGAGAATTGTCTATTTTTTCTAAATAAGGACATAAGCTATTGCCATATCCTATTACCATTTTACTTCATCTTATTTTATTTAATTCATCTTATTAATCTTAATTAACTTATCTTTTGAATAATTAATGCATCCATATGGTTTAAAACCCATAGTCTTAAAAGGAATTTCATGTGTACCCAAAAGTCTTAAAGAAGCACGCAATGAAATTCCTTTCTTTTCCAGCAGACGCTCAATCCCTCCTTTGAAGAAACGCTTGTTCTCAATTCAAATTTCTTTGTGTATCCTTCCAAGAATACTCCACACGTATACAAAGACATTTTTTTCTTTCCTCTCTCTTTTTATGTTTTTGAGAAAGAGTTTTGCTCTGTTGCCGTGGCTGGAGTGCAGAGGCAGAAACAGGCTCACGGCAGCCTTGACCTCCTAGGCTCAAGCAATAGATCCTCTCGCCTCATCCTTCCAAGTAGCTAAGACTAAAGGCACGAGCCACCACACCTGGCTAATTTTTTAAAGTTTTTGTGGAGATGGAGGTTGACCATGTTGTCCAGGCTGGTCTCGAACTCCTGGGCTCAAGAGATCCTCCCACCTCAGCCTTTCAAAGTGCCAGGATTACAGGCATGAACCACTGCACCTGGCTCCTCTCGTTTTTAATTAGTATCCTATGCACATTTTTCTGCTACTTGCTTTTTCACTTAATGTCATTTCGTGTTAAAAATGTCAGTCAACATAAAAAAAAAGTATGCACATAGGCTGGGCTAAGTGGCTCACGCCTGTTATCCCAGCACTTTGGGAGGCCGAGGTGGGCGGATCACGAGGTCAGGAGATCGAGACCATCCTGGCTAACATGGTGAAACTCCATCTCTACTAAAAATACAAAAAATTAGCCAGGCGCGGTGGCACATGCCTGTAATCCCAGCTACTCAGCAGGCTGAGGGAGGAGAATCTCTTGAACCCAGGAGGCAGAGGTTGCAGTGAGCTGAGATCGCACCACTGCACTCCAGCTTGGGAGCAAGACTCCATCTCAAAAAATAAAATAAAATAAAATGCAATAAAAAGGATGCACACAATAAAAACTTAAAAATTTAAAAAAAAAAAAAAACTTCGCTTTTGGGAAAACACTCCCCAAAAGTCTATACTTTTCTTATTTCTTTGTGACACTAAAAACTTTTTCACAGGCTGATATTGGTTAGATTTATTCCTGTAGTTCCAAGTAAAACATACACTTGGGCCACCCAAGAGAAACATTTTATCTATTCCGCCTTACCCCACATATGTCACAACTTTGCTTCCTCATTACACACCATACAACCTCTGGTAGTGACGTTTGTTCTTGTTTAGCTGGCTTGAAATGCAATTATCCATCTTCAATATTGTTGTTGACAGTCCAGTGATAAATTACAGATTTTTGGCAGAAGAAAACAAAGCCTCTGGAAACTTATATTGGCTTTTATCTCACTTCCTTGGGGAATAGAGACATAATGAATAAAAGGCAGATTTGGCTGCTTGAAAGAATCAAATAGAGCCCTGGACACTTAGCAGTAGCAGGTGTCAATTGTAATCTGTTCACATCAAAGTTTATTACACTTGGCCAAGAGGTCTGCGTACCAGGTTTTCTCCAGCAACCGCACGTTTTCACCAGTTCCTTAAATTGGGACTGTGTGAAAACTTGCTGCTTCTTTTACAAACCACACTTCCATAATTGACTTTTGGTTTAGAAGCCAGCTCTTAGCCCAGCGCTGTGTATTATTATAGATTATGTCTGGGGTGTCAGCCAGCTTGGATCACTTGGAGAACTTGGAAGTTTTAAAGATGGGTTTACCGGATTTAGCACTGTAACTGACCAGAGACAGGCATATATCTGTTCAGAGTTTCTGCTTGATTAAAAGTCAGATATTAACCTGAACTTGTGTTTTTTTGTTTGTTTGTTTTTTTCAGATGGAGTCTCCCTCTGTTGCCCAGGCTGGAGTGTAGTGGCCCAATCTCAGTTCACTGCAACCTCCAACTCCTGGATAGGAGTGATTCTCCTGTCTCAGCCTCCCAAGTAGCTGGGATTACAAGCATGCGTCACCATGTCCGGCTCATTTTTGTATTTTTAGTAGAGATAGGGTTTCACTATGTTGGCCAGGCTGGTCTCAAACTCCTGACCTCAAGCGATCCACGCGCCTTGGCCCCCCCCCAGAGTGCTGGGATTACAGGCATGAGCCGCCGCGCCCAGTCTGAAGTTGGCTTTTACTTTGTCTTTTTCATTTGTTTATTGAACACATAGTTACTGAACTCCTACTACGTGCTAGGAGCTAAGGACACAATATTGAAGAAAACAAAGTCCCTGCTTTCATGGAACTTAGTCCAGAAGAGAGACTAGATAAAAACAAAGTAAGTATCCACCCTTATGTTCCACTGATGTGAGGTAAGGGACGCCAAAACAGTTGAGAGGGGCACCAACCTGGACCCAAGGTGTTAGGTAAACTTTCTAGATATCAGAATTGAAGGATGAGTAGGAATTAAGTGTGGCAGGGTAAGAGTGTTGAAAGCAGAGAGAACAGACTAGGTGAAGGTTAGGAGGCAAAAGAAAAATAGTCATCCATTCTTTCGAGAAACTAAAAATTCAATAAATTGGAGGATAATTCAAGAGATAAAGACAGATGAGAGGCCGTGTGCAGTGGTGCATGCCTGTAATCCCAGCACTTGAGGGGCTGAGGTGGGAGGATCCCGTGAGCTCAGGAGTTCGAGACCAGCCTGGGAAACATGGTGAAACTCCGTCTCTACAAAAAAATACGCAAATTAACCAGGCGTAGTGGTACAAACCTGTAGTCCGGCAACTCAAGTGGGCTGAGGTGGCAGGATTGCTTGAACCCCGGGGAATGAGGCTGCAGTGAGCAGAGATCATGCCCCATATTCCAGCCTGGGCGACAGCAAGACCTTGCCTCAAAATCAACCAATCAATCAATCAATCAGTAAGTGTTTTTAAAAATCAGAAACAAAGTCACTAAAAAAAGAAAAGAGCATTAGAAAAAAGCGAATAAAGACAGATAAGGCAGACAGTTTGCTGGAGGCCAGATAATGCAGGCTTCTGTCATAGAGATTTTGATTTTATTTTGAAGGCAATGAGGGAATATTGAAGTGTTTAAGTTGGTGAGTGAGGTGGCCATATTTGTTTTTTTAAAAGATCACTCTTTTTGCAGCAAAGAAGATGTCCTAGAAGGGAAAAAGTTGGAATTAACAAGAACAGTTAATTAAGAGGCTGTTGCAGACAGTAGGGATGGAAAAAGGTAGACCAGTTAAAGGAAGAACCTATAGGATCTGGCATTTGAACCTAAGAGATCTAGGACTACAGGTGGAATGCACAGGACCTGCGGCAATGTTGTGGAGGGTTAAGGATAACTTCCGAATTTCTTACTTGGACGGTGAGGTAGGTGTTGGTGGGAGGGGATGGGAGGGGGATGTTTGTGGTAGAAGTTGCCTTCTTGGCAAAAGCAAAGTATCTGTGGCTTTTCTGGTTTTCCTGTTTTCTAAACTGTGAAATCAGATGCCAATCCTTGCCTTACATTTTATGCCAAACAGCATACAAGATTCATGGAAAACTGATTGCAGTTTTCCGTGAATGACCTACAAGTATAAGAGATGTGACTTAATTTGTAAAATACTGGCATTTTGTAGCAGTTCAGAAATTTATATTCTTATCTCACTTCCCAACATACGAGACACGTGGATAAAATTTAGCCCTTGCAATACTGACTCACATGCTGTTAGGTTGGTCACTCTCTGAGGATTTTTCTCATAATTTTTTCCTTTCGAGATGGAGTCTCACTGTGTCGCCCAGACTGGAGCGCAGTGATGTGATCTCGGCTCACTGCAACCTCCACCTGCCGGATTCAAGTGATTCTCCTGCCTCAGCTCCCGAGTAGCTGGGACTACAGGCACGGGCCACAATGCCCAGCTAATTTTTTATATTTTTAGTAGAGATGCAGTTTCCCCATGTTAGCCAGGCTGGTCTCGATCTCCTGACCTCATGATCCACCTGCCTTGGCCTCCTAAAGTTCTGGAATTACAGGCATGAGCCACTACACCTGGCTTTTCTCTTAATTTTTAAAAATCAAAATCTAATATATGCATGTGGTTTTTAAAATGATCTAAATGGAAATAGTAAATACTACTAAATCCAAATGGAAATAGTAAATACTAAATGGAAAGCAGCAACTCTCTCTCCAGATTCCACTCCTTAGAAATAACCACTTTCACTATTTCTTCTGGTATTTACTTCCATATTTCTACATGATGTCCTTATGCTTCTATTTTTTTAAATTAAACTGTCTGAATAAGTAATGAAATCACATTGCTAGAAAATAGAGCATATAAAAAGATGTGCAGTAAAGAGCCGTTCTCTTCCTCTTGTCTTCTGTTCGATTCCTACCCAACTCCCTTTTCTCAGGTAACTACTATTATCTGTTTTCTGTATATGTCTGTATATGAGAAAATACCATTATACATTTAGTCCTTTTCCTGTTTGCGCCAAGAATACTTGCTGATGGTGCTCGCCATGGCAGCATTTGCCCCCAGATAACGATGCCACAAGATATCTTGCTTTTATTATTGTTTTTGCATCGCTCTAGTTTATCGACTTTGGAAATAAAAGATACAATTCTAATATTTATAGCATTCTGTTTTTAGTAGTGTGGCATTTCCTTTTCCAAAATATAATATTTCTTGATCACTGAAAGTGTCAAATCCTAAAAAACGTTGCGTTCCCATACGTGATGTTAACATTGTTCTCGAACAGGTGTCTGAAGATTCATTTGATGAATTTGATTTTTCTGAAATAGACAATTCTGGTGATTCAGACAATTCTGATGTTAGCTGTTTAGAAATAACTCCAAGAACAGTTTTTATATTTTATATTCACAGTGAAAATCAGTCAGATTTGCTTCAGCCTCTAAGAGCATATTTATGTAAAATTATTATGAGCACTGACAGCGAGCTGCACTTCTTTTTCTTTTGAAAAGAAGTCTTGCTCTATCACATCACCCAGGCTGGAGTGCAGTGGCACGATCTCGGCTCATTGCAACTGCCACCTCCTGGATTCAAGCAATTCTCCTGCCTCAGCCTCCCTGGTAGCTGGGATTACAGGTGGACACCACCGTGTCCAGCTAAGTTTTGTATTTTTAGTAGAGACAGAGTTTCGCCATGTTGGCCCAGGCTGGTCTCAAACTTCTGACCTCAGGTGATCTGTCCGCCTTGGCCTCCCAAAATGCTGGGATTATAGGCGTGAGTCATTACACCTGGCCCACTTTTTTTTCCTAAACAAGAAAAGGGTTCTTTTTTTGCATAGGCGGTGCTATACTATTCTGTACCAGTCACAATAAAGGAGAATATGATACAGTAACAAACAATTCATACATCTTTCTGGCTTCCTTCTCCCATATGCTGTGTGTCCATCCTGGGCTGGCTGGGGATGTTGATTCACATTTTCCTCACCCAGGATTGCAAACCAACAGAGCGTCTACCATCTGGAGGGTCATGCTTGTGACAGCGGTGGGCGGGGAACATGACTGATCACTCACTAAACCCGAAAGCCTTCTCCCAGAGTTAACGCATATCTCCTCTGCCCCTGTTCATTGACCAGAGCATGTTACATGGACCTGAAAGATTAAAGGGGCAGGGAAGTGGGAACTTATCTTGTGCCCAGGAGTCCAGGAAAGCTGGTGAACAGCGCAGATGATGACATCATGTACACACTGTTCTGCAGCTTGCTTTTTTCAGCTAAGAAGATAATCACACCATTTCAGTAAATCCAGAGAGCATCTGCTATGGATTGAATGTTTATGTCTTCCCAAATTATATGTTGAAACCCCGATCTGCAATGTGATGGTATTTAGAGACAGGGCTTTGGGGAGGTAAGTAGGTCATGAGGATGGAGCCCTCACAATGGGATTAGTGCACTTATGTGAAGAGATGCGAGACAGCTTCCTTCTTGTCTGTGTGCCCTACCAAGGAAAGGCCATGTGAAGACATGACCAAGGAGGGGGCTCTCACCAAGAACCTGCCGGTACTGGCACCCTGATCTCAGATTTGCAGCCTCCTCTAAACCATGAGAAATCAATGTTTGTGGTTTAAGCCATCCAGTCTAAGGTTGTTTGTTGTAGCAAACATATACAACAACATCTTTATTCTTTTTAAAAAGCTGATGGACATTTGCACTATTTCCAATATTTCCTTTACAAAAAGTGCTGCAGTGAATAAACATGTACAGATGTTATTTTGCCCATGTACGACTCTGATATTAAAAGGGGGCAGGGAAGTGCTGGGCAGAGAAGGGTGTGGCCCCTGGCTAGGGCTCCACCCCCCAGGCCCGGGCTCAAGGATCTAGGTGAGGACAGGCACTCCTGCCTTCAGGCCCAGATATTGCATTTCCCAAGACCACCCTGGCCTGCCACGCCCCCATCCTATGCCTGTAAAAACCCTGAGACCGTAGCAGGCACACATACAAACTGCTGGATGTTGTCAGGAACACATTGGCGGAAGAAGACACAAGTGGCTGGACGTGGAGAGGACACTGAGAGGAGCATGCCAGCGGAAGAGCACACGACAGATGCCAGCACGCCGGCCGGCCATCAACTGGTGGAATGAGGCAGAGTTTGGCCAGCGCAGTCAAAGGAGAGCCTGAGACGCCAAGCACCCTGATTCCGGGGGAAAACCATCTCCCTTTTGGCTGCCCCATCTGCTGAGAGCTACTTCCACTCAAGAAAACCTTGCACTCATTCTCCAAGCCCATTTGTGATCCAATTCTTCTGGTATACCAAGGCAAGAGCCCTGGGGTACAGAAAGCCTCTGTCCTTGCCATAAGGCAGGGGTGTAATTAGGCTAACACAAGCTGCCTATGGATGGCTAAACTAAAAGAGCACCCTGTAACACACACCCACTGCGGCTTCAGCTGTAAACATTCACCCCTAGACACTGCTGTGGGGTTGGCACCCACAGCTTGCCAGACTGTATGCTCCCCTGGAGGTTTGAGCAGCAGGACACTGAAGAAGTGAGACATGCCCCATCACATGCCCTGAGAGGGGGACAAGGGAACTTTTCCCATTTTAACTATATTGCTAAGTGATATGGTTTGGCTGTGTCCCCACCCAAATCTCATCTTGAATTGTAACTCCCACAATTCCCACGTGTCATGGGAGGGAGCTGGTGGGGGGTAATTGAATTATGGAGGCAGGTCTTTCCTCTGCTGTTCTTGTGTTAGTGAATGAGTCTCATGAGATCTGATGGTTTTATAAAGGGGAGTTTCCCTGCACAAGTTCTCTCTCGTCTGCCACCATGTAAGACATGCCGTCTGCCCTCTGCCATGACTATGAGACCTCCCCAGTCATGTGGAACTCTGAGTCCATTAAGCCTCTTTTTATTCATAAATTACCCAGTCTCAGGTATGTCTTTATCAGCAGCGTGAGAGCACACTAAGATAAATGTCCAGAGTGGAATTGTTGGGACACAGGGTGTACACGTTTGTCATTTTGAGAAGTATGGCCACATCACACTCCACAAGGGACTAGGCCATTGTGCCTTCTTACCAGTAATGTGTGAGTATCACTGCTTTCCCATGGCCTTGCTGAAGGAGTGTACTTCAAACTTCTAAGGTTTCAACAGAATAGGCAAAAATGTTCTCTATTTAGTTTAAATTGCATTTTGCTTGTTACAAATAAAGTGGAGTGTTCTGCTACTTCTTGATTTTTAGGCTTCCTAGAATAGTAAATGACAATTTACTTCTCCAGCCCTCACTCTCCCCATGCACACATGCCCTCTCCCCTTATTCTCCGTTTCCAGTTATGCCACAGCTCTAGGTTAATTCAGTAATCAGTCTACATCGTTATGTCATGAAAATATATTTAGTAGCTGAGCACGGTGGCTCAGGCCTGTAATTCAGCACTTTGGGAGGCCGAGGAGGGCGAATCACGAGGTCAAGTTTGAGATCATTCTGGCCAAAATGGTGAAACCCTGTCTCTACTAAAAATACAAAAATTAGCTGGGTGTGGTGGTGCGTGCCTGTAGTCCTAGCTACTTGGGAGGCAGAGGCAGGAGAATCGCTTTTGAACACAGGAGGCGGAGGTTGCGGTGAGCTGAGATTGTACCACTGCACTGCAGCCTGGTGACAGAGCAAGACTCCATCTCAAAAAAAAAAAAAAAAAAAAAAAAGACAGGAAAATATATTTAGCTACAGTGCCAGATCATGTTCTATAATTAAATTTTCTCTAGTGTGCTCTCCCCACACCCCTGCCGGCTTGATGATTGCCTTTGCATTGTTTACCCATAAACTATTCGTCTTTTTATCCTTATAGGGGTTTTTTCCCCACTTGTCTCACTGAATCTAATATATGTCTACTAGTAGTTCTTCACAAATGATCAAATACAGATGTATTAGGTAATTTATGGATTCCTTTTCTCCCTGGAGACTTCCTTCCCAGAGCCCTCCGTCCGTCACCCGGCACTATTTCCTCTCCAGGCCTGCTTCTTACACCCCATGTACTCCTCCTTCTTGGATTACTGTGTTTAATTAGAGCACACCGTTCAATCACTTTCAGAAAACTCTACGTTTATGTCTTCATGGCCTTACGGAAACTCACGTTTAACAATGGACTAGAATGGCATTCTAGGGTGTCATTTATCCATCCAACTATGAAGACATTACTTCATTTACTACCAGTATCACAGTGATGCTGTGAAGAAATATGATGCTGTTCTGCTTCCTATTTGCGGCAGAAACTTCTACTTGCCTTCCAGTATCCATTTTTTTTTCCTTAGTAAAATAACGCCTACGTTTAGCCTGGCTGGAGATGACATTTCCTAGCCTTCTTCGCAGCACTGTATGGACATGTGACTCAGTTCTGGCCACTGGAGTGTGTGAGCTGCAATGATGTTTTCCACTTTCAGATTACGCCTTGGAAGGAATCAGCAGCCAATGGCCTTTCCCTTTCCCTTCCTTCCCATGGACAGGTGCACACGTGATCGGGGAACCTGGCTGCCACCCTGAACTCTGTATTGGAAGCTGTGTGATGAGGTTCCCAGAGCTGCCCTTCTCACTCAGGACTTTACCTCTGAACTGTGATATGCGATTGGAATAAATTTCTGTCTTGATTATGCCACTATACTTTTTATACATATTTCTATGCTAACGCTTCATTGCAAGGTATTGATCGACTTACCACCTATGCAACTTACGACCATTCGACTTTACGACCACAATCGCTAGCCACGACTGCTCCGTGTCTGGCAGCGCAAACGTTGCCCAGCTGGGAGTACGACAGTGCGGACCAGCTTCCGGCAGCACTACCATCTCCGTGTGCACCATTGCAACTGTACATATAGCCTACTCAACTTATGACCAAATCGTGTTACGACTGGTCCACGGTCCCGACTGTGGTCGTAAGTCGAGCACTAGCTGTATTACAGTTTCTTTGTAAATGACCTGTTAAATCAAGTTTAACCTAAAGCTTCCTCCTTACATATTTTAAGTGTGACCTAAAGGTTTCTCTGTACATAGTGAACTATAACCTAAACGGAGGGATAAACACTGTAACCTACTCTTGTGCCAATCACTGAGTTTTGGCTAATCGACCTGTTCAAACAGTGTTCAAATAAGGCAAATGCTGAGCTGTAACCAATCCAGCTTTTTGTGTATCTCACTTCGGTTTTCTGTCTATCACTTTCCCTTTTTTGTCCATAAATCTTTTTCCACCATGTGGCTATGCTGGAGCCTTTGAGTCTACTCTGGCTCAGGAGGCGCCTGACTCACAAATAATTCTTTTGTCCAATTAAACTCTGCAAAGTTTCTTTGTCTAACTTTGTCTAAGGTTTTTCTTTGAACAGATATGTTGAATTTCTCTTTCTTTCTTTCTCTCTTTATCTCGCTTCCTTCCTTCCTTCCTTCCTTTCTTTCTCTCATTTTTTTTTTTGTTTTGTTTTTTTGAGACAAAGCTTCATTCTTGTTGCCGGGGCTGGAGTGCAATGGTGCAATCTCAGCTCACTGCAACCTCTGCGTCCTAGTTTCAAGAGATTTCCTGCCTCAGCCTCCCAAGTAGCTGGGATTACAGGCTGTCACCACCATACCTGCTAATTTTTTGTTTTTAGTAGAGACAGGGTTTCTCCATGTTGGTCAGGCTGGTCTCAAACTCCCGACCTCAGGTGATCGGCAGGCCTTGGCCTCCTAAAGTGTTGGGATTACAGGTGTGAACCACTGTGCCTGGCCTGGTTTTTTTTTTCTTTTCCTCTGTCTCTGAAAGTTTAAGGATCCCCTTTTTATCCCCAGTTTTCATGCTTCTAGTCCCGTCATGGGCCTTTTAAAATTCAGGGTGCTGAGTACTCTGTGTCCTTTAAATCTGAATGGCTGTGCTTGTCAATTTCATAGATTTTTTTTTGTGTTATTTATTCAAGAAGTAACTCCTTTCCATTTTCTCTGTAGTTTCCATTTGAAGTTTTATCATTCATCATTTGTCACGTTTCCTGAAGTCTTTTCTTTCCTTATGTCCAGTTGTTTGCTTGTACCCATCTCCACTTTCTGGATTTCGTCTTTTAACTCTTTTGAGACATTTCTCTAAAAAATTAAAGCCTTATTATTTTCCAGTTCCAAGAGCTCTTTTTCATTATTCTTTTTATTTCTGTGAATTTATTATTTATTTATTTATTTATTTATTTTTGAGACTGAGTCTTGCTCTGTCGCCAGGCTGGAGTGCAGTGGCGCAATCTCGGCTCACTGTAACCTCCACCTCCTGGGTTCAAGCAATTCTTCCGCCTCGGCCTCCCAAGTAGCTGGGACCACAGGCATGCGCCACCACACCTGGCTAATTTTTGTATTTTTAGTAGAGACGGGGTTTCATCATGTTGGCCAGGATGGTCTTCATCTCGACCTTATGATTCGCCTGCCTCGGCCTCCCAAAGTGCTGGGATTACAGGCGTGAGCCACCACGCCTAGCCTCTGTGAATGTATTTATTATAGGTTTTGATTTTCTTTCGTTTTTACTGATCCTGTTTGTGTCGTCTTTTTTATGTTGGAGACTGACAGTTGGAGATTAAATCAGCTTAATGGGGATATCATCACCATAAAGATTTATTTTTTCTTTATGCTAAAATCATGCCTATTCTTCTCTCCTAGCTATTATGAAATGTTCAATAGATTACTGTCACTCATAGATATCTTGCTAATCTACAAGCAAGTGTTTTTTGGTGGGGGGACACCCACATGTCAGCATCCTGAAAACTTTTCTCCAGAGCAGAGTAATTCCTCAAGAGGAGAGTTCTGTAGTTTCCCAGGAGGGGGAGATATCACATGTATACCCCAAACTAGCTTTCACATGTAAAGATATTGATTCACTTTAGCAAGCCAATGGTTTTGAATATTTTCCCCTAGCAGTTATGGCGTATGTATGTTTATCAGGGCTTATTCACTGATATGGTTGGTCTTTGTCCCCACCCAAATCTCCTTTTGAATTGTAGCTCCTGTAATTCCCATGTGCTCTGGGAGGGACCTGGTGGGAGATAATTTGAATCATGGCAGCAGTTCTCCCACACTGTTTTGTGGTAGTGAATAAGTCTCACGAGATCTGATGGTTTTATACTGGGTGAAGGAGGGGAGATACAGAGATCTCGGAGCAGGTGCCTCTGATATTTTAGATCATGCTTTGGGGGCAGCTGTCTGCAGAGAGAGCTAAGGACACAGCTGATTTCTGCAAGAGAGGTCAGTCTTTCTGTGGACTTCCAGAGGCAGGACCATGACTTGTGAGAAGCCATAAGGCTAGCTGAGCACAGAACAGATTCTGCAGGAAGAATGAGGGGTCTTTGCGTTACTGGTGGAAAGTATGCCAGTTATCAGCGGCAAATCCATACAGGTCTGCAGCAACTTCAATTCTTGCCTCCTCAGAAGAAAGAATTCGACTCAGGGGCATAAGGCAGAAAAAGAGACCAAGGCAAGTTTCAGAGCAGGAGTGGAAGTTTATTTGAAAGACTTCAGAACAGGAAAGAAAGGGAAGGAAAGTATGCTTAGAGGAGACCCAAGCAGGCACCAAGGTCAAGTGTGACGTTTAACTGTGATCCTTGGACTTTATAGGCTCACCTCTTTCCTGTGATTCTTCCCTTAGGGTGGGCTGTTCGCATAAGCAGTGCCCTCCTTACCCTTGGGAGGTGTTGGAAACGGGTTTATAACATCAGGAAAAATCCACACCAAGACAATGGATCACTCAGCAAGGCTAGTTTTACTTCCTGCAGGAAGGGTGCAACTCGCCGGCAGTCTTGCCACGAGAGCACACCTGAACAAAGGAGACAGGGACATTTGTAACTTTCATAACCTGACGCAATCGCCCCACTGCTGTGTCCAGTTTCCATTGGCTGAAACGGGACCTCACATTCTATGCTTGACCCAATTGGCCAGAAACTTGGAAATTTTCTAAAGAGGTAAAGGCAGAGGAGAACAAAGGAAAAGAGGAAGTTACTTGAGGAATGCTTAGAGAAGCTATAAATTTCCAAATAAGGAAGGGGAATAAGCTATAACCTGAGACTTGCCTGGGCCTGTCCAGGAAAGTCAGGGCAGATATCTAGGTTAAAGTGTAAGAACTCAGAACATGAGATGCACTTTTTTCTTTATTATAACTAACAGCTACTTTAAGATTATTAGCAAAAGCTTTAAAGTAAATTAACCTTTGAAGAAACTATTATTTATTCGTAATGAACTAAGAGGAAAGCTTTGAAGAGGAACTTTTTATTTATTCTTATTTTCGATAGGAGGTTAGCAGTAGCTGTGTGTTTAGGAAGATGACCCCTGAGCTTTCTCCCCTCTTCTGGTGGCATGCCCCTGGAACATCATACGCCACCATTTTGTCTCTTTTAATGTGCATGCTTCTCCCTGGAGTCGGCATTCAATGTGCAACAGGTGTGGACCATCAGGAAATGGCCTCTCCCCTGGCACCTGGCTCCCAATTTATCACTTTTAGAGAGATAATGTGATAATTACCAAACCATCACCCGGCATTCCTAGTGGGTTGGGGAAAGCCCTCTCCCGCCCTGCTGATGCCCGGTTAACTACCTGTAACATTAGCACTGGCAGTCTGAGGAGGGTTTACATGACACCATTGCAAAATAGTAACTGAGACTGAAAGAGATCTGACCTAACCAACACCATCTTGCTTCTAACCTCTAAGCTGTCCTTGTTCATTCCTGGGCATAGGCTGAACTAACTTTGGGAAGAACTTAGTTTATAGGTTTAAACAAAGATGATAATAACTCTTTCCCAAAACAAACCCCCTTCTTGCCTGGGAACTAAACTGCCTTTGTAGGACTCACGAATTGGCCAAAAGATTAGATATTATGGTTTAGGAGTCATGCATCTAGAGGCTACAAGATTCTGTCCTCTCCAAATTGTTCCTGGGGATAATATCAGAGCTTAAGATATTTTGCAGACCCTGCACTTCATGGATCAGCCGGCGCCACCCACATCAATAAACTGGCTTCTCTGGTCCTGTGGCCCCAACCCGGGAACTGACTCAGCCACAAGAGGACAGCTTGGCTCCCTACGATTTGTCTCTAACCTTACCAATCAGCACTCCTGACTCACTGCGCCCCACCACCCACCAAATTATCCTTAAAAACTCTGATCCCTGAATGCCCAGGGAGACTGATTTGAGTTACAAAACTCCCGTCTCACACACAGCCAGCTCTGTGTGAATGACTCTTTCTTTCAGTCCCTGTCTTGATAAATCGGCTCTGTCTAGGAAGCAGGCGAAATGAACCCATTGGGCGGTTAAAACAGTTTGTCAGGCGACCAGAGAAAGAATCCCACCTTTGATACCCCAGATGCTTCAGGTTGTTTTTGTAATACTTAGATTTTACTTGTCAGTGCAGATCCCTGAATATCACCAACTGAACCAGTTGAAAAGACAAATCTGAATGTATTGCTCCTCAAGATGAGAGAACACGACCTCCACAGAGCTTTGGCTGTGGCTGTGGGTCCCATGGAAGGGGTCCCTTCCCAAGGGCCCCACTTGAGAAGGCAAGATATAAACTGACTTAGAATTGAGAGTGTCAAAAGACAAAATTACAAAAAAGTTTTGATTAAAGATCTAGTTGCTTTTAGATCTTTTAGATGTTGAATTGCCAATTCATCTCATCTGAAGATTTTTTTTTTAAAGGTGCTCCATTGGTTATAGAAGAACAATCAGTTATTTTATAAGGTTGCTTAAGCAGGAACAAGGAAACAGGGTAATACAAAAAGCAGCTTGGTTAATATCAGGTCACTTTCTGTAAGAGCTAAAGCAGAGGGAACCTCCTTATCAGGCCGTCTAACACTGGCCTGTTTGGGCATTTGGCTGTCATGTCTTCTGAGCATTTAGTAGATCAGATAAACAACTTAGTTCCAGAAGTTTAGCGTGAGTGACTCCATTTTGGTGTGGTCTGTTGGGGCCTATCACAGGAGCTCAGTCCAAATCAATGACCTCCCATTCATTTCATTTTTCAGGAGTTGTGTTTAAGGTGGGCTTTTCATTGTGGGAGACGTGATTAGGGTTGGATAGAGAGAACAATACAAATGTCCAGAATCGATGAGGAGTTTGAAGCAAGGGATTTAAAGAATCTTAGGATGCAAACTGTCTGTTGCTTTTCACTGAGGAGGTGACAGATCCTGGTTGACTTGGGTGCTCTCCGCGTGGCAGACTTTTCTGGCATGGCCAAGCAGCTCCTGTCACTGAGTCTGCAGGAGGAGGCCAGGTTTCTCATGGAGGTGGGACAGGTTTGCTGTGCCAAAGAAACAGTTATTCATGACACTTGTTAAAGATGGTAAGGCTGACTTTATTCGAGGGGACCATGGTGATAGGTATAGGGACTGTTACAACGTGAGTTTGGCTCAACTCAGACTCCAACAAGGACAAGTGGAGATTTATAACCAAGGAGCAGGGTGGGGGCAGTGGATGGAAAATTACTAGGGGGGAATACCAAGGATAAGAGGTTTCTGGCGAAACTGGCTTTAGAAGCTCATTGCTGAAGGCAGGCTAGGGTGATAAGACAGTGAGGGTGGTCAGAGGGCAAGGGTGGGGGATTTCCTCCCTCCCGCCTCCCTCCTTCCTTCCTTCTTCCCTCTCTCCCTCCCTTCCTCCCTCCTTCCTTCCCTCTTTCTTTCTCTTTCTTGCTTCTTTCTCTCACTCTTTCTGCCTTTTCTTGTTTTTTCCCCGTTTCTCTTTCTTTCTTTCTTGCTCTCTTACTGTCTTTCTCTTTCTCCTTTTCCTTCTTCCTTCCTTTCTCTCTTTCTTTCTTTTTCTCTCTCCTTCCTTCCTTCCCTCCTTCCCTCCCTCCCTCCTTCTTTCCTTCCTTCCTCCTTTCTTTTCTTTCTTCTTTCTCTCACTCTTTCTCCCTTTCTCTTTCTTTCTTCTTGCTCTCTTTCTCTTTCTCCCTTTCTTTCTTCTTTCCATCCTTTCTCTCTCTCTTTCTTTCTATATCTCCTTCTTTCTTCCCTCTTCCTCCCTTCCTTCCTTTCTTTTTCTTTCTTTTTTTCTCTCTCACTCTTTCTCCCTTTCTTTCTTTCTTTCTTCTTGCTCTCTTTCTCTTTCTCCCTTTCCTTCTTCCTTCCTCTCTCTTTCCTTTCTTTCTCTCTCCCTCTTTCTTTCTTTCTCTCTCTCCTTCCCTCCTTCCTTCCTTCTTTCCTTCCTTCCTCTCTCTCTCTCTCTCTCTCTCTCTTTCTCTCTCGGCTCTTGCTCTGTCACCCAGGCTGGAGTCTAGTGGTACAATGTCTGCTCACAGCAACCTAGGCCTCCTGGGCTCAAGCAATCCTCTGGCTTCAGCATCCCCAGACATGTGCCACCATACCTGGTGGATTTTTATATTTATTTTGTAGAGATGGGGGTTCACCATGTTGGCCAGGCTGCTCTTGAGCTCTGGGCCTGAAGTCCTCTCTCTGCTTCAGCTTCTCAAAGTGGTGGGATTACAGGAGTGAGTCACTGTGCTGGCCAGGGGATTTTCACTAAATGGACTATGCAGGATTCTTGCTCAAATTGGATTCCACAGGGACAGAGAGGGAAGGCCAAGGGCAGGCCTAGTTAAGCGGAGGGCTCAGAGGAGCCTGGCTAAAGTTCTGCTCAGAGGAGAGAGTTTTTGTTAGCTCAGTGACAGGAGCAAGAAAAACTGCCTTCTGGAGTTACGTATGTAGGTCACATAACTCCAGTGCTTTACAAAACCCAGATCTGAGCATATTTCTCCCAGTTTGGCATGATTACAAGACTCAAGCCCTCCAGAAATGAAAAGCCTGAAAATGCCAAAACTATGACTTTGTGGAGTCTGAGCCTAATGGTATTGCTAATGTAGTTGCCAAAACAATGAACAACCTTTTTCGTAAAAGACTCTTCAAGTGTCATTTTATACCACTTGAAAAAGTGCATGAAGAACTTTCAGAGAGCAGAATGTTTCATTTAAAAAGTCATCATATCCAGTGAAATGAAACAGTCAGAATTAAACGCTGTTAGGAAAGCTGCAGATAAGGAGCTATTTAAAAAAGAAAGAAAAATTACTCGGGAAGAGATCAGCTGAGAAAGAAATTGATTATAATCGTCTTTCACTGATTTAACAGAAAAAGGAAAAAAGAAGTGTTTCAAACACTGATTTTCAGAAATCTGCAAATAGTCATATTTGCAGGCATTACTTAGAGAAAGGGGAAAAAAAACCACATTTATCTAGGGAATGCAAGCTCTTTAAATTATGAGACCTAGAAAGGCATTTAAAATGTAACAGCAGTCATATATCACTTCTCCTTGAGCTAAATCATTACTTCTTGAAGCCACTTGCTATCTGGGCTCTAGACAAACTAACATCAAGTAGCCATAAAATGCCACACACCCTGTAATTCAACACAAGCCAATCACAAATCAGTGTTATTTCTGTAAACCAATGAGAACGTCTGATGAATAACTTTTATAATCGCCTCCTCTCCTGATTCTTTTTTTTTCTTTAAAAACTTGAGATTCTCTTGTTTTTCCAAGCATTCACCAAGGCAATTAGGAAGCACGTCTCTGGCTGCAGGGCCTCACACCAGTTTGCATAGCAGCATGTTTGCAGAGACAGAAATCTGATGTGACATAGATGAATGATGATGATGAAGATAATGAAATGGTTTTCAAATAGCACATATCTGGCATAAAAAAAGAAATACTGGCCAGGTGGTGGCTCATGCCTGTAATCCCAGCACTATGGGAAGCCAAGGTGGATGTATTGCTTGAGCCCAGGAGTTCGAGACCAGTCTGGGGAACATTGGTGAAACCCTGTCTTTGAAAAAA